CAAAATTACATTTTCAATACAACTATGCTCTGGCTTTCTCTTCTTCTTCCTCTTCTGAATTAAATTTAACTAGTTTTCCTCAATTTCTTTGCATTGTTCATTTAAGAAGGCCTTCTTATCTCTCCTTGGTATTCTCTGGAAACCTGCATTCAGTTGCTTATATCTTTCCCTTTTACCCTTGCTTTTCACATTTCTTCTTTCCACAGCTATTTGTAAAGCCTCATCAGACAGCCATTTTGCTTTCTTGCATTTCTTTTTCTTTGGGATGGTTTTAGTTGCTGCCTCCTGTACAATGTTACGGACCTCCGTCCATAGTTCTTCAGGCACATTAATCAATACCAAGATTTTAATTAAATTTAATTAAAGCTGAGTGTAGCCTTGATAGACAATTGAAAAATGAACTTAATTATTTTATAATATAAAAAAGGTTTCTGTCTTGATCTTAATGCTTAATACTAAGGTCTCCACTGTATTGTTATTTGATATTGTGTATAAATGTTAACAAAAATGAAAAACAAAACAAAAAGGAAAAAAAAGAGTAAAAGAGTACTTTTCTGCTGGAAGAGCAAAAGATTTTTCAGCTGACCTCATAAAAACCACTGTGGCTCAGACACCAGGAAGCTGCTCTCAAAACTGCCTTTCATCATGTAGGTGCAGCACGCAGAAGAGAATTATTTTGCGTGACATGGTCAAGTACTAACTTTTGCATTGCCTTATAGATATGAATGCTACCATACGAAGGATTGACCAGCTGACCAACATCTTGGCTCCAATGGCCGTGGGACAAATAATGACCTTTGGATCGCCAGTGATAGGTTGTGGATTCATTTCTGGCTGGAACTTGATTTCCATGTGTATAGAATATACACTGCTCTTGAAAGTGTACAGGAAGACTCCTGCTTTGGCTCACAAGGCTGGTTCAAAGGTTGAAGAGTCAGAACTGAAGCAACTCAATGTACAGAAAGGTAACAGGATTTCAGAAGTTGTCTTTGATCAAACATCAATGACAGCACCATCTTCTGCGTACCCCATTGAAAGTTGAAAGTTCGGCTGAGTTAATTATTCATTCTGTTTCCTTATAATTCTTTATATGTTACACTTTTAAAAATCCATTCCGAGCTTTGGAAAAGTCAATATGGTAATGACACTCCTGCTGCTGAAGTGCTTTGGCATCAAGAGTTTATCTGACATACGCAAAGCCCTAGGCCAGCAAAGCAGAAATGAGGAAAGAGAATCATTTGGTGCTTTCCTCACATTCTTTTTTCTTTCTGATAGAGGGGAAAAAACATTTCCCACTGTGTGCAGTGGGAAGGAGTTTTTAGATGTCAGTCAAGCGTTTAGAACCTGCTCTAACCGAAGACTGAGCTCTGAAGTTCCTTGCTAACAGCTTGTCTGTTCTTAATAGGTGCAAATTTGTTTGCTTGGATGGCCAATCTTTATCTACTGTTTCTTTCCACAGATGGTGAACTGAAGGCCACTGAAGGAGTCCAGTTGATTCACAAGAAAGAGGTCACTGTTTCTGAACCTGAACAGGAACATGTTAGCTGTCTTTCTCGTATGACTGAGCCCTTCAGTACATTCCGTGACGGATGGGTTTCCTACTATAACCAGTCAGTGTTCCTTGCAGGCCTGGCCCTGGCATTCCTTTATATGACTGTCCTTGGCTTTGACTGTATTACTACTGGCTATGCATACACTCAGGGACTGAGTGGTTCCACTTTAAGCCTCTTAATGGGGGCCTCTGCCCTAGCTGGAATCCTGGGAACAGTAGCCTTCACTTGGCTGCGTAACAAATGTGGGTTAATTCGCACAGGTGTCATCTCTGGAGTAGCCCAGCTGTCCTCTCTGGTTTTGTGCGTGATCTCAGTGTTCACACCAGGAAGTCCTTTGGATCTCACTATTTCCCCATTCATTGACATCAGTGCTAGGTTGTTTGAAAGCAGTCCATTACCCACCATGGCTCCTGATGGTGATCTCCTCGAAATGCCTTTTACCACTGAAATGCCTGCTTTGGCCAACGCAACATCTTCTGATCCAGGATTAGCTCCCAGCCCAGTGTCTCTCATCTCTGTTATCCTTCTGTTTGCAGGAGTCATTGCAGCAAGAGTTGGTATGTTAACATTCCCGTATAAAATACTCATAGTACTTCTTTGAATACAAATCTATACTTCTGTAGTAGTTGTGGAATCTTTCATAAATCACATATTAATTCTAGCTTTCCAGTCTGGTCTCCAGATATAGTTGGAATAATTTATGATATATTGAATATCTACTCAAGAGTAGAATGGACTAAAATTATCAGTCTCAGATGGATTTAGTGATGCAGAAATAGCTCACTCATAGTTGCTGGGTATACATATATGTGGTTGACTTGTAACCTTCACTGCAGAAAGAAGGGCATTGGAAGGGTTTATGTATTTTCATATCCCAGCCTTTTTCCATCAGCAGAACTGTTCTGACTGGAAGCCTATAGCAGAATTGTCCCAATGTGTATATTTGCAAAATGGGATGGCAAAGCTCTTAATTGAAAAGAAGATAATTTGTCTGAAGTACTGTATAGAGATCTGTGCTTATTTAACAAGTGTTCTTCTGCTTCTCCTGCCCCTGCTTCAGACAGAATTAAATTTCTTTTCTTTTTCCTTTTTGCTTTTTATAGGCCTGTGGTCTTTTGACCTAACAGTCACACAGTTGCTTCAGGAAAATGTGATAGAGTCCGAAAGAGGTATCATAAATGGTGTCCAGAACTCCATGAATTACCTTCTGGATCTGCTGCATTTCATCATGGTTATTCTGGCTCCTAACCCTGAAGCTTTTGGACTGTTGGTACTCATTTCTGTTTCCTTCGTTGCAATGGGTCACATCATGTACTTCCGTTTTGCCCATAAAAGCTTAGGGAGGAACGTCTTCCTTTGCTGTACTCCTGAGCTAAAGTCAGTTGCCAATGAGCCTCCAAATCCTGATGAATCCAATGCATAGAGGATTTTGCCTCCTCCAGGTGTTTTCTTCCAGTCCAAGTTGACTGATATGCTTTATTATGGGTCAGAAGCAGCTGGCACCTCCTAAAGGGGTGGTCCTTTCCAGCACCCAAGCCCACAACCACCTTGTTTTCCTTTGCCCCTGGGCAGGTAGCCAGGTATGGATTTTTACTGGTTGCAAGAGATACACTTATTTATATAAGAGGATATCTCCTCAAGAGTTAAAGGTTAACTACCAAAAAAAAAAAAAAAAGGCAGTTGAGCTAGAAGGACGTGATTCTTATTCTTTTCAAAAACACAGTTCCTATTGATTGGAATGCGGTGGAAATTAAAATAATTAAACAAAACATTGTCCTATAAGTAATATGATTAGTGGATGTTACGTTTCTGATGCAGCATAAATGTATACTTTTTTCTCTTTTAAAAGAAATATTAGACGTGATGAAAATATACAAATGAATGACAACAAAGCTTATTGTTCGATAAAACTCTGAAATGTGCCTTTAAACAGACAAACAAGACCTCTTTTCTGTAATGTTACTTCTAGTTCAGTTTTGAACAAACATCTGGATTATTTTAGTATATTATCTGAATAAGAAATAATGCAAAACAGTGTAGAATATATACGTAGCACTTCCTAGGAACCAAGATTAACCTAGCATAAACCGAAGCTATTTATATAATACAGTATAGCATTGTAAAGCATAAGGGGGGGAGTATTTTTGGTTTTATAAATTTTCAATATCGTATTTACTAAGCCTTAGTTTCATAGTTTTAAAGGCCAAATATATGAAGTGAGAGAACTAGATTGTGTGTATGTGTGTTAATGAGAGAGAGTGCAAGAGAATAAAGAAAAGATGCATCGCTTTTTTTTCAAAATTATTTAAATTATTTAAAACACATAAGCTGAAAATTCCAATGATTTATTTTACAGTAGCCCCCCTAATATCAGGAAGAAATCAAGAATGTACCACCAGTAACTTCTTTGTATAAAATCCATTTCAAATGAATGGGAATTGACAAAAAAGTAATTTCTTTCCTAGATGATCTGTATGTGACATTCTGTGTGAACTTTGTGTGTATGTCTGCATTATATATGTCAGTAATTTGGAGAAATAAGCTGTAGCATGAGTGTAACTTGTAAGCAAATGATTAATAATCTAACCTGGTTAAAATGTAAAAAGCATGTCCCTGATCACAGATCTTCATCTGCAAAAGCAACTTGCTTCCACAAGGATGAGCAGGAGGATTTGTCCTATCAAGCAGCTTCTTGGCAGCACTAATGTTGACAACTCCAAGTGCATGTTGGGGCAAGGTTTTGGTGAAGACTGGCAGTGGTGCACACCTTCTGTTCAGTGGCCGAACATTGTATGAAAATACTTCTGTATGTTCTGCCTGCAGTTTGGGGTTCTACTGTGCTAGTCAGCCAGCATGGTTTGCCCTTGGAAGGACGATTGGCATGCAGAGCCCTACTTCACTTACACTGGTGAATTGGGGCACATCTGTATAGCTTTAAAAGTTTCACAGAGCTGATATCCTTATGCATTCTTTCTTGTTTTAAAAAAAGTACTCTTTATATCCTAGCTTAGTAGAAAATGGTATTTTAAATAAGTTGCCTTTGGTTTGGTGTGTGTGTTTTTTAAACCTCTTAATGTAAACACAAACATTGATAATCAGTAGTGACAGAGAATGCCATGTATATATGAAATGCTTTTGGAGTCCTTTTTATGGTATACAGGAATGGGTGCAATGCTTTTTACAGTAAGTTTCATGCACTTTTGTGGAAATTGCAGTAATAATGCTACAAGCACTTTGCTTTCAAATAGAGTTGAATCCTCTTTACTGTACTCTGGAGTTTTTCTAGATGTAATTTTAAACTTCTGTTGTTAAATATTTGTTAAATATTTGTATGCATAAATATAAACTATTTTTCACATTTTTGCCTTTTCTTCATTTGGGGATTATGTTTTGCACACATGATGCAATTAATCCCATATCTGAAATTAAGTGGCAATGCACAAGACCTGTGTTTAGAATTTTCTCCAGAACTGTTAAACTGACACCGAATTTTATACACAAATTAACTGAAGATATGATTTGGTTTGGGAGACATGATTGGATTGTTTTTATAGCATGTCAACTAAAATTAGCTAGCAGAGTGTGTTTTAAGGAAAAGAATAATAAGAAAATGACACTATTATCTACTTTATTGATAGGATTTATATCCCACCTTTCTATCTTATACTGGTTGGTCTCTGATCTCTGAAAATAAACAGAATTTGTCCTGCAGAAAAGACAACAGAAAAGAGTTTGGCTGGCCTCAGCAAGGAAGCAATAAGTTGTATTGACCAGAAAGGACACATCGTCTTTCCCACTTAAATTTGTAACTTAAGATCAAATGGCAACAGTTAGCATCATGATGACATGGTGCTTAGACAGCTTTGCTTCTCCCTTCTGCAAAATTGTGCCTAAAAATTTGTGAAATCAACACATCTTTCAAGAGCTTATCTGAAACACCAAAACCTCATGTAAGACCTCATGAATCTTTGATATTCACACCCAAGTTATCGATTGCAGATTTTCTTACCTCCTAGTGAAAAATTGTGCTAGGGGGCCCTGAAAACGTTAACTGAATGTTAAGCAGATTCAAAGCCTTGTAAGCATTAGTGTGTGAATGAGGAGGTACAGATGAATGTGCTAGTTCTGCTTCCCTTCTTAGGTAAAAAGTATTTCAGATCAAGCTTGACTCCTGCTGACATGGATATTCCCTTGGCAGTTTTCTGTTTGCCATTGCCTTCTTCAAGAGAACCACCATTGGCAATTAAGAGCCTCTTCTAGCTGTGGAATTTCTTCATGTGATTAAGAACCTTAGAAAAGTAGGATTTGAAATCACATGGAGAATCTACTGCAGACAATTGACCCATATACAAGGCTTACGAATATGGGAGATAGAGTTAACGCACTGGCCTTAATGCATCCTCCTTGCCTATAGAGCTTACATGCCTCTACGGATGCCTGAAAAGAGCTTCTATAAGACATGGGAATAAGAATAAGAAACCAGAGTGCTTACTGAAAGGCCACCAAAGGAGGACAAAGTGCATGCTGTACGATAATGCTTATCCAAATATTTCAACCTGCTCTACCATAAGTCAATATTTCTTTCTAGTTAATTTTTTCCTTTGCTGCATTTTGCAAGACAAAAAGTACATAACAAAGGGCATAGTGTAGTCCACCTCCAAATATCTCTAATGAGGTACATAACCATATCTCAGAGACATGACCTCACTTTTAAATGAGAAGAAGTCAAAGGTCTTAGCTGTAATGATAGTGAAGTCTAGGAAAATTGTGCAGATCATTTCCTGCCTCATAAAATTTAGTAGTGTATGGATTCTACATTCCTGTTCCCCAAAGCCTTTTTGTCAGAATTGCCTTTTCCAATTTGGGGCTGAGAAATGTAGGGGTCTTGGATGTGAGTTTTCATAATCCCCAGTTACTTGGCTAGCATGTTTTTCCAAGGGAAATGAGGCTTTAGTTCCAAAACACTAATAGGTACCTACAATAATCCCAATATAATTAAGCAACCTTAGTTAACAAGTTGGTAAGATACAGAAAAAATCTACTATGTAATGACAAAGCTGGCGATCAGTCTTGACACATTTATTTATGGATATGTTAAATGGGATTTGCTACAACACAGCTGTGCAGCATATATCTACCACTAGAAATGGACGTTCTTGTTCTGGCCCCTAGGCATTTTATTTATTTTATTTATTTTATTCTATTTTATTATTATTTTATTTTATATTTTATTTTATTAAGGAGAGAAGATAAAATATTAATATTTTTTTTTCTTCAAAGTCTTCCTTTGCTATGCTACATAGTGTTACAGGATTCAGATTTGGGATGGACTGCCAGTCAAATCTTAACATGCTGTTACTCTGATTTGTGGTAGCAAATCTGGAAAGACAAGAAGTGAAAAGGATGTCTTTTTCCCCAGCTTTTTACTTTATGATGCAGGAAAGGGGGAGGAAAAGCTTCCCTTACAAAGCCTCACAGCTTCATTGCAATCCTGGAAGCTCCATGTCTAAACGATGGAGTGATTCTTGAGAAACTTCAATGCCTATGGCAAAATGGCATGGAGAGACTTAGCTCTGATCTTCCTGGCCTCCATGACTACATTAGACTGTCTCACTTTGTCAGCAGACCAGAGCATGTGGCAAATCATACATTTATGCTGGTATTTGCTGTAGAGTGGATTGGGATGAGTGCAGATGACGGAAAGATCTGAACTTCTGGAACACATAAACCTGTATACCAACATATAATCCCCCCCCCCCCCCCAACAGAACTGCCACTGTGGCAAGCCCCAGTTCGTAACAGCCAGACATCATCTCTGGATACTCTACCCAATTCTCTCACCTCTCCATTTCCTCCCCATTTTGGTTAGTCCTCCCAGAAGATCTCTTTCTCATACTGATTGTCCTACACAGGCTCCTAGTGATGCAACGTAAGGCACACTGGAGACAGATCTCAATCATTCCTGCCTTTCATAGTTTCAAAGGGAAATCAACCATTCCAGTATTTCTCTCTGATCTTTATTCCCTGTCTATAAATACTTTTCCCTCCTGCTGCTTTTTGAGTACATTAACTTTTTGCTCAGTGAACTGAATAAATTGCTGTGGGTTTACATTAACTAATCTTCAAGAAATGTAAAGAAATTGGTTTTGTGAACACTTAATACTAAAAACAGCCTTGCCTTATTTCTAGGAACTAAGTACATCAGCCATTGGCATCCATACAAATCTATGTTGTTGTTTTTCAGTTGAGAAACAGAAATTGGGCTGTGGGCAAATACTCATGCCTGCAATGTTTGCTCAGCTGTTATACTAAAAGAAGCCAATCGGTGTGGGTTTATAGCACAAAGTGCCCTGCACTCACCTTACCTGAATCAACCCATAAGGCACAGAGGTCACTACTGGGTCACAGTTTTGACAAAAGATACAAATGACCAAAAAAAAAAACTTTTGCATTGGTCAAATGTCTTTCTTTCTTTGACACTTTGACTCTGACACTTTCTTTGATACTTTGACACTGCCACTGTTTCACTCCCCAACCTCTCAGAAAGGATTTGAAGCCAACACGTGATCATCTCAGCTCCTGAGAACAGCCAAGAGTTCTTCCTTTCAAGTGTAAGAGGACACAAAGCACAGCACTGAATCAGATCCCCACTCCAGCCCCTGCAGCCACATCTTTAGTTTGTATGTTCTGTGCCTTGCCCCATGATGTCTTTTTCCCCAAAAGCAGTCCCTATAAGGGGACAGAGATGTCTGCAGCAATGGCCACATGATGCAAATGCAATGGTAGGCGCAGGGCTTCAATTTCCTGGCCATGTCTGCCATTTTGAAGCCAGTGACCTTTGCTGCAAATGTCCCTGTAAGGGGATATACAAACCACCAAGTCACTATTCTTCTATTGCATTTAAAAGAGCTAGTATGTGGAGAGGGGAGTGGGAAGAAGCCATCTTGAGCCCAGAAAACAGGATGTAGCAAGAGCCTGATAATAAGAAACTGGCTACACGCACAAGTTTTGCAGTTTCAGGGTTGTAGAGAGTAAGATTGTCTTCTGTACAATCCTAGATACACAATCAACAAAATCAACAAAAATAGGCTCAAATGTTGTGAAATCACACAAATGAGAAGATACTTCTGCAATTGTTCAGAGTCAGTGTAGAAGAGCCTTTTCTTCCATCCTGTCAAGCCCAGCCCAAGAACAATGGTGAAACAGTCCAGCTGAGTAAAGTTCCCTTATTTGGTTACACGTTATAGACAGAATCTTGCCAAACTAAATCTATACTACAGCAACAAGTGGGTATACCTTGGAAAATTCTAGGGAGTGGCTATCCTGAACCTCTTATGCTTCCCATGCTCCCCCTGTGGACTGTATTGTCTTTTGTCTCCTTTCCCCTGCTGGAATGCTCCCCCTCCTTCCTGATAGCCTTGATCTCCCACATCACCCTCCTCTTCGTAGATACACTCCATCACACATCCAGAGATCTAATCTAGAGCAGTGATAAATCTAAACTATATTCTGGGAAAAGGCATATTGGAAATTTTGTTTTCTCAAAAATAAGGTCAATATAGCCGAATTACTTCCCTGAATGTTTTGAAAATATTCCAAGCAAAGAAGAAAATGGTAGTGATGTATCAATTTTTCACATGGAAAAAATGGAGAAGCTTATTCCCATCTATTGTAATACTAGAATTTGTATCATGCAACATAATAATAAGGTATTACACTGTGAGTAGTTGAGCCATTGTTTATAGTGAGCAAGCTTAATGTAGATTAAATAAATCCAGGGAGGATATAGTTTACAGTAACTACTAGTCACGCCACTGTCAGAGAATGAAGCAGCTACTTCAAGCAGTGAACCACAATATGGTGAGTCCTCATCCTACTACAGTGGCAGTCTTCTTCTCAATACCATATCTCAGCCAGCTAGTGAAAAAATACTGTTTCATACATTGATCCAATGCTATCTGCTTGGTCATTTTGGGAACATAATGCTGGACTAGATGAGCCATTGGTTTTGACCAGCAGGCCTCTTCTGCTGTTATTAACCACT